CCTTAAGGGTTTTTTATTTTCTGTAATTGAGTGACACTGTTTTGTGGGCCTCTAAAAGCCGCATTCCCAGTAGACAGGGAACTAGATTTATGAAGAGCGAAGCTTCTTCCTGTCTGGGGATGAGATCTTCTAAAAGCTGCTTCACAGATGTTTTGAACCAAGAGGAAAATGAAGGCTCATGTGACCCTGGTATCAATTAATTAGGTGCAATAGTACTATCTGCAGGAAATATGAGAAGACTTCTTTAATCCTGTTGTCATTACTATCTCCTCTGTCGCACAGTTTGTAATGTGGAGTTCCTTCATTTGACAGTGTGTTTTTTAGCTTGTGACAAACTGTATGCTGAAAGAGTCTGTAGTAGTACTCTTTCTCTTTTTTTTTTTTCCCCATCAAAAAAATCTTACTTTTTACAAAGCAAAAAAAAAAGTTTCGGTTCTTTTTTTGAGTAATCTGTTGCTTGCTAGGTGCCTTTTGCCCCAGGTCAGCTCCTAAAGATAAGGGGATGTAATCTGGCTCCTTTCCCCAGTTATCGTGTATTCAACAATTTAGTATTGGCTGTTTGTGGTTTAAAAGATTGTTTCTCACGTCAGCTGTAGGCTATTTGTTAAAAGCAGATACAGTTGCACTCCTTTCAGTATTAGGAAATTGAGACCTGGTTATAATAAGGGTTCGTAGCTTCTATCCACACTCCAGTAGGTATTCACTCAGCTGCGAGAGTACATTGCAATCTAAGCTTTGCTGTGGGATCTTTAGAGTCACATGAGGGTATACACAGGATGATTTGGGTGCTCACTTATGGTTTTGATGTTCAGGTGATCTGCGTTCACTTACAGAATACAGAAGTACAGTCAGGTAAATCAGTTGATAAGATCATATGCAAGAAACTCCTAAATCACCTTCTGAGAAGTAAATGTAAATTTATTACTAGGAGAAAGTTGGCAAATTGGTTGTCATCTTAGAAACAGTCATCTTCACAAAGTCCTGAGAAGTGGCTTTTCTCCATAAGTTAATTTTTATGCAAGACTTACAAGGGGACTACATGAAATTCTAACTGGATTGGAACTGTTGATTTGGGGAAGAGCTGTTCAACAAGCTTTCACGCTTTGTGAAATTCAGTTCTCAAGTGGTTCAGCACAACTCCTGTGTGCTACCCTGTGTTCTAAATAGATCCTAAGGCAGACATTGTAGGTAATTGAGCCTTATGCCTGAAACCTCTGTCTTTAACTGATGCTGAGCTTTTTTCTGGGGAATTGTGACTGCTTGCTCAAGTCAGTTTTGTGAGGAAGCTGTTATGGCACCTTGTGACAATAGCTGGAATTCATTACCTGTCTCTACTGATCCTTCTTAACTCTCCAATGTGCAGTTTTGGGTTTTTAACTAGGTAGGTGAGGTTGGGACAGGCTGGAGGCAAATTCAGGGGGCAGAGTGCCTTCTAAGTAAAGAAAGGCTGAATATGCCTGTGCATATTTGGTGTAACCTGTACAGAGACGCTTTTGAGCTGACTAAAGAACAAGAAGAAGGAAATAATACAAATACTGAAGTGGTACTGAAGTGGTACCGAAGTATTTCACTGTCCTGTTATACCTGCCTTCCAGAAGTGCTTATGAAACTGAATTTTTGCTATTTTGTGTATATACATATATATATTTATACTCAGATTGGAATTTGGGTTCTTTCCTTTAAGCAAAGTTAAATTAAAATTGTGTGAGTAATATATTTGAAGTTTCTGCTGTGCTGTGTTAGTTACGTAGATATCCATTCAGGACCAGAAATTTGTATCGCCTGACTCATGTGAACACTAACATCCTGGTGTGAATTCAAAGGATGAAAATATGGAGGGGAAAAATTATCAAGATGTTTCCAGAGAGTTTTGAATAAATGAGTATGAGATCACTGGGAACAACGTTTCCCAAGCAGAAGACGAGGTCACATTTAATGAAAAATTAAGTTGTTTTTAAGTGATTTCTCTGTATCTACTAAGTTGCTTAAGAAACAGTCAGGGGTTTCAGAGGATGGTGCTCAAGTACTACAGTGTGGACCTGCTGAAGTAGTGTACTTCAGTAAGTAAACTTCCGCTTCACAGCTTTGCAGAATCACATGGATTTCATTGCTGCGTTTAAATGTTTATCACTATGGCCGGAGAGTCTAACTTATCATCAAAAGTGGACTTAAATTATTATAATAATTCTTTTTACTTTTATCTTCCTCTCCCTAAAGATCAGGAGAACTCTGAATGCCTTCTCTTGTGGTGTTTGCCCTTCACCCCTTCATTTCTTGGTTTGTCAGGAAATTCAGTTTTTTGTAATGCTGCAAGAGATGCTCTAGTATTTTTATCAGCTCTTGAATTTGGGACAGGCTGGGACATTGAGGCTTGAAAGTCTAAAACAGGTGTTCAGACTGTTTTGACCCTCCTGTTTGTGTGCATACATATGCATAACTGCAAAGAGAGTGACTTTCAGGATGTGAAACTTCTGAGTTGGCGGGAAGGTATTTGAAAACATTAATTGAAATGTCACAAATTATCAGGCTGGCTCCTGGTTTTGCCTTTTTGTACATAGTCTTCAAATACTATCTACCCTTGAGATTTTCCCAAAGCATTGGAAGTATGTGCACAGTCCTAGGCATTGGCTGTGCCTGATGAGATGAATTGGATAGGAAAGAAGGTGTCTGCTCTGTCTAGAGATCCAATGGGTCCAGATCACATAAAGGCTTGCATTGCTTAATGGGTTGGGTTTTTTTCCTGCCTTTCC